AGACCAACCTTACAAGAGATACTAAAGGGAGTCCTTTGGACAGAGAACCAACAATAGCAAACAACAACTGACCATTAACACACATGATGACATAACCCAGAAAGCAACCCAGCCATGGAAGTATCCAAAGTAAATAAGTCTACAAGATTGTAAACAGGAAACCAGAGACAGCATTGACAAATTAGACAATTAAAAACCAAAAAGAGGGGAAAACTGTAGTTATAGAATTTCTAAATGGTAGGGAAGTCAAGACAACTGTAAGATAAAATGGGTTGTTTTAACTTGGGAAGAAACTATAAATCACAGGGTAACCTAAAAGAAAAGTGATAAACCTTCACACCAAAATAAAAAAGAGGACCAGTACAAATATTTAGCAAATACTAAAACATTAGCAACAAACGGAGTGATAACACAATTCAGACACAAAATGAGCTCAGTGCAGAAAATTACATGGAACAAAGAAATCAACACCATGAAAAAGCACATAACAAAATGAGAGTAACAAATTCATACTTGTCGATAATTACATATCTGAGAAGGGACTTATCTCTAAAATTTATAAAAAAAACTCCAACACCTCAACAACAAAAAGATTAACAATCCAATTAAAAAATGAACAGAAGACATGAATGGACACTTCACCAAAGAGGATATTCAGGCGGCCAGCAAATACATGAAGAAATGCTCATGATCACTGGCCATCAGAGAGATGTAAACCAAAACAACGAGATATCATCTCATCCCAGCACAAATGGCAAAGTTCAACAAGACAGAAAATGGCAGATGCTGGCGAGGATGTGGAAAGGCTGGGACTCTCATACACTGCTGGTGGGACTGTAAAATGATACAACCACTGTGGAAAACAGTATGGTGATTCCTTAAAAAGCTGAAATTAGAAATACTGTTTGACCCAGCAATCCCATTACTAGGAATATATTCTAAAGAAGTGAGAGCCAGGACAAGAACAGATATATGCACACCCATGTTCACTGCAACACTACTTTACAACAGCAAAATATGGGAACGACCTACATGCCCATCAACTGAAGAGTGGATAACCAAACTGTGGTACATACACACAATGGAATACCATGCAACCCTAAAGAATAATGTAGAATCTGCAAAACACTGCATAACACGGATGAACTTGGAGAACATTATGCTGAGTGAAAGAAATTAATCACAGATGGACAAATATAGCATTAGTTCATTATTGTAAAAAGTCAAGGATATATGGAAAGAAAATTTCTTTGTTGGTTACCAGGAGTGGGAGGGGAGAGGAGGGAACACTGAAAAAAAAAAAAAAAATACATTGACCCATGTCACTTTAGTTCTGTATATTTCAATGTACATAAATTTCATTTCAATAAAATGCATTTGGAAAAAGAAAAAAAAAATGAATAAAGCCTAAGGCTTATGAGGCACACCATCAAAAAGAATAACCTATGTGTTATCAGAATTCCAGAACAGGAAGAGACAAATAAAACCACAGAGAAAACTGTCAAAGATTTGTTGGAAGAGAATTTCCCTGATATGATGAAAGATGAGAATATATCCATTCAAGAAGTCCAACCAACACCAAACAAGATAGACCCCAGAAGAAAATCAGCAAAACATATCATCATCAAACTCACCAAAATCAAAGACAAACAAAGAATTCTAAAAGCAGCACTGGAAAAATGAAAAGTTACCTACAAAGGACAACCACTAAGACTAAGCTCAGATTTCTCCAAAGTAACAATGCAGGCAAGATGACAATGGGATGGTATACACAAAACCCTGAAAGAAAAAAATTTCCAACCAAAAATTACATAATGAGCAATACTATCCCTCAAATATGATGGTAAACTTAGGACACTTCCAGATAAGCAGAAATTAAGGGAATTTGTTAAAAGCAGATCAACATTACAAGAGATGCTAAACAGAGTCCTTTGAACAGAGAACCAACAACAAATGACCATTAAAATACATGGTGGCATAACCCAGAAACCAACCTAGTTATGGAAGTATCCAAGTAAATAACCATACAAGATTGTTAACAGGGAACCAGAAACATCAATTAGCAAATGAGGACAACTACAAACCAAAAAGAGGTAAAGAACTGTGTAGTTACAGAACTTCTAAATGGTGAGGAAGTCAAGACAACTGCAAGATACAACAGACTGCTCTAAACTTGGAAGAACATTATAAACCACAGGGTAACCTCAAAGAGAAATAATAAACCTTCATATAAAAATAAAAAAGAAGACAAGAACAAATATTTAGCAAATACTAAAACGATAGCAATGAAGGAAGTGGTAACATGATTCATAAACAAAATAAGCTCAGCACAAAATACATGGAACAAAGCAATCAGCAACGTCACGAAAAAAGACATAACACAATGACAGCAACCAACTCGTGTTTGTTTGTTTTGTTTGTTAAGTACCGTTGAGTCATTTCCAACTCATAGCGACCCCATGCACAGCAGAACGAAACACTGCCCGATCCCGCGCCAGCCCCACAATCCCTGCTATACTTGAGCCCATCATCGCAGCC